GATCAACAATATGCTGGACAAGGTTGACGAACTCATAATCGGTGGAGGAATGGCTTTCACATTCTTGAAAGTTCTCAACAATATGAAGGCAAGCCATTTAAATTTCAAGTATTATCGCTCCCGAACGCCCCAGTCTTGTTCGTGATAAATCATAAATTTATGTTTTTTTCAGATTGGCAACAGTCTCTATGATGAACCAGGAGCCCAAACGGTAAAGGGTGTCATGGAGAAGGCAAAGTCGAAAAATATCAAGGTGCATTTGCCGTGCGACTTTGTGACTGGAGATAAATTCGCAGAAAATGCTGCCACGGGAACGGCTACCGTGGAATCTGGCATTGAAGATGGATGGATGGTACGTCCTCTTGGATTATATTAAAGTATTTTTAAGGGACTCGACTGTGGACCAAAGTCGTCGAAGGAATTTGCTGAAGCCATTTCTAGAGCGAAGACTATCATTTGGAACGGGCCCGCAGGCGTATTTGAGTGGGAGAACTTTGCGAAAGGCACGAAAGCTGTGATGGACGCTGTCGTCCAAGCAACCGCCAATGGTGCTATCACTATAATTGGTAAGTATACCCAGGCTTCCTAATTTTTCAGTTTAGCCTGCAGCAGTGAATCCATTACACACTGCACGCTGTTTTAATTGAAATCCATTAGTTTTTTTCCTGCCGATAGTTATGTAATCGACACGAATGCATCTAAACAATTCCGTCTTATCCCAATGTAGGCGGTGGCGACACGGCCACATGCTGCGCGAAGTGGCACACTGAAGACAAGGTCAGCCATGTCAGTACGGGAGGTGGTGCGAGTTTGGAGCTTCTTGAGGGCAAGGTGCTGCCCGGTGTTGCTGCGCTTTCGGACGCTTAAACGTTTGCCCAGGCTAACGGAGGAGAGCGCCGTTTTTCTGTTTAGTTTCCTGCATTTGATTTCGACCAATATATTGTCTAGGTCCTTATACTTTCTTATAAAAGGAAAACGGCTCAATGGTTATGACGTATGTATTAAATGTAAGTGAACAGAAAGGAAGCAGTCAACATGCTATGAGATCGTGAT